GGGGGTGTCTCAATTAAGGTTTAAAGCAAGTGTTTACGAGTTTAGTTTAAAGTTTCCATACACACTATTAGGTTATTTATTAAGTGGCAGGACCTTTGAATGATAAGACATATAGGACCGAAACGAGATCTGACTGTACTTCAAAGATAATTCACCAACACTCGCAGTACAGGGAATGACGGTTTCCTTTTCTTGAACAAACAGTAACAGTAGACATGTACTATCAAATAGAAAACGAAAGAAGAAAAGATAAGAACAAATTCAAAATAGAAACAGTTGCTTTATTTGTTGGGTCTAGGGTCAGAGATTCTGAAATAGAAACCCATGTCAGCTCAGATGCGCTCAGCATAGAGAGCAGACAAAAAAACCCCCAAAACAACATGCCACTCGCAAATTTTTTTTTTTCACAACAAATTACTGATAAAGCCGACTTGTCTGTCAAGTGTGTAGCACATTATGCCCTGTTGATGTGCAGCCAACGCCACACAGAAAGTGGCTGATAAAACCCAGCAGCACATTGGTCAATGATTGGTATCGCAAGCACAATCACTCTCCCTTACATTCGCCCAAACCGACACACAACCACACTGCTTGTACTCTTACTTTCAAGGGATGTTACATTTGCCACTGCATCTTAATACAAAAGTTCACAACAAAAGCTTTTTTTTTTTACTATGCAAAGTAAATCCAGTCTGCAAAAAAGTACAAAAAGGTGTGCAGAGCTAATCACATCGCACAAGGCTGGAAAAAAGCCTGGCACAGACAAGTGTTACCTTTAGCCCTTTCCTGTTCAACCCAGCCACCAAAAAAGTGTTTAAAATAAAATGCAGTGTTTTAGTTCTACCAAGCCTAGTCCGGCTGGAAAAAAATGGTGTGCCCGTGTTCTATCTGGGCAGGCTTATACATCATTTTTCTCACAGGGTTTTCCTCAAAGGTAAGTTTGGTGATGATAAAAATAAATCTCTGGTATTTGACTTTAGTCTTCTTTTCATTGCAAGCAAGGACATTATGTCAGAACCGGCATTGGCATTCCATGCTTTTAGTTTTACTTTCATTAAGCCCAAAAAACTGAACACTGGAAGGCTGCTGCGTACATATACATAGAAATATAGAAAGTTACAAATGGTTGGCAGTAACTGGTGAAGAACGTGAACAGGAAACGGTTAAAATAAAATAAAAATACTTTCCCAACCACTCACACGTATATAAAAAGGACCCCACCCCTCCCCAAGAAAAGAACACAATAAAATCAAATTATATATATGGGGGCACAACCTCCTGTATTTGGTTCTGAAATATTCTTACCACAAAAAATTTCTGTTACCGTCTGTCAACAGAATTTTACTGAGTGTAACATATTATATGACCATACAAAATGATGCAGACTGTGTCCCGCAATAAAAGTGAGCATGTGGGATAGCTTATGCACTCAGCAAATGAGGGTTTTAACTGATGATGAAGAAGATGACGGTGAGCAAGGAATACGTTTCAGAACAATGTGCAATGAGAAGTTCATTCACCCTTAATTGTTCACACTGAAATGTTCACCATACTTTACTTCAGATCTGTCATCTTTAACCAAACTTTCAACATTCACTTTCTCATTAAATATTTTTTCTGTCAAATTACAACAAATTATCAAACCAATTTATACATCAAATTTGAGCACATTAAAAAAATGAGCACACACCTCTACACCAAACTCTTTTTTTCTTACATAAAATTTAAAAAATCTCTGACTTACAACTTGATTCAAATCTGCCCATATTTCTTGGACAAAATTCTTCCAGTCAGATTTATAAAATGAATACTGTCATACTCACCCCCCCTTTCTGTTACCAATATCCTTTCTCACTATAGTTCAGAGATTTACAACCAGTCTCCACATAGGGACCTTCTACGTATAGACAGTTCATGAATATTCATCAACAACGCATGTACAAGGGAAAATAATATATAACATCAAACACTGGACCGTCCCCGTATTCTACTTAAGAATTGTTGGCACTAATGGGGGCATCAGTGTGTAGTCACAATGCAGATTCCTCTTACAAAAAAACAAAAACAAAAAAAAAGCAACGAATGTCTCGTTCTTCCGACAAACCCTCCCTCACTCTGTACACCATTTTAATAAGGCTCACCAATGTTCTTCGACTTCATGATATTTTTGCATTACATACATTGGTGTGCTCCCCACCTCAATCACTCTTTACTTCTCCCTCACTCACACAATGCACAAGCTCTCTTTATACACATGTCTGCTACAGCTCACAATATGCGAGTGTACAAATTTCACACACTGCACAAAAATATATATACACAAACATACACAACACACAATTTAGATGTTCTTAGAATTCACAATGCTTGTCTCATGCATGACTGCAGATAAGGCTGCACAAAGTTGGCACTGCATTCACACTTCTCTCTCTCTCTCTCTCTTCTCCTCTCTCTCTCTCCTGTACTCCACCAACACATATTTCTTGTCTTAGCATTCATTCAAAGCAATTCCAAAAACCGGACTTGCTTATCACACCCTGTTCAATGGTGTCATAAACAATTTTTTAAATGTCATACAAATGGCAATTATTGATTTTACTTGGGTTACATTTTTTTCAAGAAGCTTACCTTATCAATGGAGCATATTTTGGGGAAAATGGAAGACTTTCCCTTTGTTGTGCGCTCCGTTAGCTCAGCTGGTATCAGTCTGGACTATAGAGTGGATGACTCTGGTTCAAATCCCAGATGGGGCATTCTTGAACTTGGGTCGTTTTGTGAAGTTTTCATCTCATTAGGCTTTGTTCAGTCGGAGATGAACGTTAATTACCAAGCACTAAATGATGGTTATATTGTTGATGGGATTCTCTTTACAATTTCAAACTATTTTTCTTTCCCTCTGTTTGCTTCTATCTTAATACTAAATGGCTGTTATACGATTGATGATGTTTTCTTTACATATTTAGCTGGCAATTTCCCAAACAAAGTATATGCAAGCCTACAAACTGTTAGCTGATAATATGGCTTTAAATTTTTTTACTGGCACAAGTATTATCTTTCTAATCTCTAACAAACTATTTTGCAATTTCTACGTCTTTGTTTCCTTTTGAAGGGGTGGGAGGGTCAGGTTTTTGGAATTGCTCATGACCCAGACTCTCATTAGGCAGGCTCAAAATTCTACATAGTGCACGTACATCCACTGTGCTGGAGGAGTTAACACTGGGTTTTGTGGGGTGTACATTTTCAGGCCTTCTATTTCACTCACATGCACATATACCCTCTCCGGAGACTTGTTTTGCAATTGTAAGACAGACTTAGACCACGAATATACAAATCACTCACAACAAAAAGAAATGTTTTTCTTCTTTGAGATAATACATATCTTCCCATACTTTCACTGTAACTGTAACTTCTCTCACATTAACGCTCTTACACTTTGCATGTTTTTCTCTACACACAATCTTGGAACCAGACTTGCAGTGTGAGAACCTACCAATTTTTACAGTTTACACGACATGTGTGTATGGACATAATATCTCTTTTTTTCTGTTTGACAAATCAACACATTGCACATATATGTACAACACAAAGACACACATAGAGGAATTCACCGCCTCTACCCTGTATCAGGGTGCAAATGAGACAAAAGGGCTAGCACCGCTTCAGCACTCTTCACAACTTTCTCACATAGATCTGGGCCCTGGGACCGAACACTGGGCCCCCCACACACAGGTTCTCCTGAGGAGGCCATCCCACGCTGTGCGCCGTTAGCACCGGAAAACCCAGCCCCTCCCAGAGACATGCTTGTCGGTCTCGACACCATCACATTAGGGATGTGACCGGAATCCAGGGCAGTCCTGTCGCCCCCCAGCCTCTTGCTCTCGCTCAAAACAAAAGCCGCAGCGGCCGAGGCAGGGCCCTTACTAGTGCTGGGCCCCGGCTCAGAGATGCTGTGCACATTGGTCGACGTCGACGGAAGGCACTCCATACTGTCCCTTCTTTCAGCCTGTCCGTCGTCTGCCTTGCCGGATGACCTATCTGAAGGAGAGGGAGCCAATGATGATGACAACGATGCCTCCACTTCTTGATGTTCATCGGCAGAGGCGGGTGGGACAGATGTTGCCTCTTTCTGAGGGGATACTGCCTCTGTGACATTTTCCGTCTGAGACGTGCTGGCATCCTCTGATTTGTCCTTTAGAGCACCACCACAATCACTCGACTGAGCCTCTTGATCAGAAGCCGCCGCTTTCTCGACTTCACATTTGATTTTGGAGTTGGGTTGTTCAACAAGCGGATCCTCATCCACCTGTAAAGCAGCTGGCTTATTTTCATCCTCAGGAACAAAGGGATCCTCCAGTGAGCTGTTGGCCTCTGCTACAGGAGTCATAATGTCCACATTTCGATCGGCAGGCTCTGAAGTCGGGGACTCGCAATCTTCCGTCTCCTCATTTCGGGAGCGGGCACGTTTGCAGGGTGTGGCACCTGGAGAGTAGTATAATGCAGATAAAGTCAGATCTTTAGAACAGAATTGAGCAGTATAACGAAGGGAAAGCCAGATCATCAGAATAGAATTGAGCAGTTTAACAGAGAAAGTAAGATATTCTGATTTGAAATATATACTTTTTAACACATTACACCCTAACTCGCCCGGGATCGCCCGTGAATTCCCTTACGCGCTCCACTCTGACTCGCCCGGAACCGCCCGCGCCGACCCAGCGTCTTTAGAAACGAAAGTCTCGCCTTGACGAGACTCTGGGGCCGGGATTTTGATTTGCATAGTATAGCAAAAAGTTTCTTCTTTCGTTTGATACCGAAACGAAATTTTTCAGGCCAGTAGTGTTAGTATTAGAGCTGATCGAAGTGCGATCGCGTTACCGACACTTCGAAAGTGCCTCGACTTGTTGAAAAGCGACACAATTGAGTTCGAAAACAGAAATAACGATGGATTTGAGCAAAAACGAGCATGTGACAAATCAGATGGCTCAGATTTTGATGAAAACGTTGTAGGAAGAGTTTGGGGCGATTCCGATTGATCAGACAGAGAAATTATAGAATTTAGATCTAGGGCCCGACCGCGAGGCTGAGAGTGAGAGTGACGGGTCAGACACCCCGATTGAACTAAAGTTAGAACATTTCCAACAGTTTGCGCATACATAAAGTTATATTTTTCTGAAACTACATTCAGTTTTCTTTTTAACTTTTATTTTTTCCGGATTTTTGGAATTTGTTTAGTATTTTTAAAATGTGTTTTTTAAACGCTTGTATTCACGGGAGGTGGGTTCTTTCCCCTTGCTTAGGATCTAACAATGGACTTCCCGTCCAGGCCCTTAGGGTGTAATGTGTTAAAAACTGAGAAGTATAACATAAGAAAAGTCAGTTATTCGGATAAAACTGAGGAGAACAACATAGGGAAAACCAGAAGTTCTAATTCAAAACTGAGCAGTATCGTACAGGGAATGTCAGATCTTCAGGACAAAATTGAGCAGTATCACACAGGGGAAGTCCGACTTTCAGGGCAAAACTAATCTGCAAAACACTCAGAAAGTCAGATACTCTGAATTAAAAAAACTGAGCAGTATAAGATAACAAAAGTCAGTTATTCAGATAAAACTGAGCTGTGAAAGACAGAGAAAATCAGATCTTTAAAATAAAACCAATTTACAGTGTACAAGAAAAAAGGGACAAATATAAAAAAAAAAATTTTTTTAATGCAATATTTTAAAATGCTGTCTAGACTACGGCACAAGCCTATACAGCTCAGTTACTTGTCGTCAAAAATTGATTTTATTTATTTTTTTAAAAAGCATGTAAAGAAATAGCCATGAAGTCAGGAGCCTGCACTCACCTAGACTCTCTCCTCCCTCCACATTGGACGACTTTCTTCTACGACGGACCACAGGCTCCTCATCCTCCCCATCATCCACTCTTTTATCCTCCTCCATCTCTTTATCCACCATATCCTGTCTTTGCCTCTCCTCTTCCTCTTTCCTCCTCCTCTCCTCGCGCTCCCGGCGGGCAGCCTCAGCGTCTGCCCTGGCCTGAGCAGCGGCCATCATGTCTGCTCGGTGCTGCTGAATCAGCCGGCCACTGCGCAGGATCGAGCGCAGGGCTTTGGGCAGCAGCGGGCTGGGCTGCTGGCGGGGCCGCACCGAGAGGATCAGCTGAAGGGCCCGTAGTTCCTTAGAGACACGAGACGAAGACCAAATATTACAGCAGATATACGAAGAATGGTGTGGTGTAAAGATTAAGCAACTTATTCAGTGATAAGACATTGGATTGGCATTGGGCAAAACTGGAAGAGCTGTATTTGCACGCATGACTGCTCCCAACTCAAAAGACGTACTAAATTCCCTCAGTAGAAGAGAACAAGTCACTATTTTTCGCCTGCGAACACAGCTAATCCCACTGAATTCCAACCTAAATAGGATCCGCAAGGATACCCCACCTAACTGCCCGTTGCGTGACTGCCAGGATGAAACAGTATAACACAATCTCTTTACCTGCTCTGAACTTAGTGACCCGCGTAGCACCTACCTACCTGCCTTCCCAGATATCAGAAATACTTTATACAGCGACAAAACACAGCTGATAAAAAACTTTTTGCCATATAGACAGGCCGAAGCAGCAACAATCATGCAAATGAATCAAACAAATTGTAACTGACTTCGTTTATTTTAGTAGAGGTTTTACGGCCCTCGCAACTGCATAAGGTCACATGAGCGCCAAAGGGAGGATGTCAACAGAAAAGTCCTTAAAGGGAATCAGGCTTACTCTGCTCACCTCTCTAGCTTCAACAGCACAAAGTCTGCTTCGACTATCAAGGCACCCCGGAAATAGCGGGTCACAGAGTGTGATAAACATACAAAAGAAGTAGAGGAAAATGACGATGGTAGCGATTAGGAAAGAAAAAGCAGCCGTCCCCTGTTGCAGTTCAGGTACAGTTATGAGCATGACATTTTACAATTTAACTGTGCACAAGAACATGTTAATGTACCCCCTTTGGGAAAGGCCTAAAGACACTTCAGTTAGCAGCACCGCCCCCGGGGGTATAACTGACTTCTAGGTGTTCATTCAATGGTTAGCGTTGAACTGCATCTAAAGGAAATGGCATCTTTAATACACAATCATCATTTAAAGCTACGAAAAAAACGACATAGCCGCATTTCTACCATGTCTCAACATCACCTGTAGTATCAAATATGAAAAGTCTCCAAGGAAAAAAAATTGTAACATAAACTACTGCCATTAGACTATGTACTTAAGACTTTAACAGGAAGGCCCACAGATCCTTGTAAACACAACACAAAGAAAAATTATGACAATAACTAAAAATTTCATTGATTAAAAAGAAAATCCAGAGACAAAAAAGTTGTCATATAAAACATAGTTGGCCATCTCTCTCTCGATCAAGTAAAAAAAAATATTCTCAAACAAAATTTCTGTGGGTTGAGCAAAACAGACAAAAGAATGGCCCCAGCAAGTTTCATATAACAAGAATCTTAGGTTCAACATCAAAATTAATCTTCCCAAATAACTTAAAACTATTCAGCTGAGAACCATCATACAACAAAATGTGCCTTTAACTCATTAAAAAATTTCCAAGCAATCTCTTCCTGAGCTTGCCTTGATGTTTGCCACAACACCTCTCTCTTGACAATAACAACACCAACAACAACAAAAAAAGAATCCACTCACCCCCAAAAGCCTGTTGAGGACGGGCATCACGTCTCTGTCAGCCATGTTGGTCCTGAGGGCGTCAGCCTCGGCCTGTATGGAGGCCACTAGGTTCATGACCAGACTCTGACCGCCGTCAGTGATCACATGCTCATGGACCTACACAGAGAATGCAGGATGATGATGATGATTATCTTTTTCCTACGAAGAGCCCTATGGGTGAAACGTCTTATTCATCTTCCATAAATTTGTTGAAACTTTATCTAACATTAGACATAGAAATAAGAATGTTTTCTTCCTTTATACTACTAATTTCACTTTCAAAGGTACATCCTTGTCTTCGTCTGTTTTTAAAATCTACCGAACAAGGAAGATGACGATAACTCACGTAACGAAACATGAAATAGTGAGCACTTTGCTGCTACAGCGGGGTCTTTTTTCCTTATTTATTATGTTCCTGATGAAGCCAGAGTTGATGAAACATCAAACTTTTAACTGAATATACCCAACTGCATTCAAATCTCCAGTATTTTTTTTTTTTTTCTGCTGTAAAGCAATGATGATGATGATGTCATATCGTGAGCAGTGAAAAACGGCAGCTGAGTTGAACATAATGAGTCCACAAATGAATGGAATTGTTAAGGATAGGACATATTGATGGGTGGCAGAATGTAAAATCGACAGACTGATAGTGTAGGAATAATGTAAAATTTCAGAAGAAAAAAGCATTTCAAACAAATGAAATCTAGTCAAGCACAAAACATTTATTATAAAAGTAACCAACATAGGTTTCATGTTACAAAATTATGAAATAAAAAAGGAATAAAAAGCTTGTAACCCAAAATTATGATCACATAAAGAGTTTGAGTAAAGAGAAGCACATCGACACAATAATGATCATTTTGTTTTGGGAAAAAGTAAGACAGATAGACAGAAACAACAGAGAGAGAGTAAAGAAGTAAGACCTACCAGTGGTTCCCTCCAGAAAACTTTGAGGACTTACCCTTGGGAAAAAGTTGCGAAAGAACTGGTAGATGATGTCATTGTTGAGCGAGCGCCGTTCGTCGATGAGAACTGTGTCAATGTAGTCGATGAAGGAGTTACACTTGCACAGGGTGTTGACCAGGTTGTGGTCCGGATCTGCAGTCTGCAATAGTGAGAATAATAATTATAATAACAGATAGAATTTGTATAACGCAAATCCCCGCTCGACAGCAAGCTCTTTGCGCTTCACAATCTATACTATTACCCCAGCAGACCTGAGAGCATTCTGAAAGAAACTCAACTTCCTGGGAAGCATACAGTGCAAGCAGCCATTTATAGGTGCTAAAGCACTAACATACTCACAAGATCTTTCGCTGTCTATGGCCGGGTACCCATTTCCACCTGGGTGAAGCGAGGAAAATTCGTGTAAAGTGTCTTTCCCTAGGACACAACATCGGGCCCGCGGCTCGAACCCCCGACCCCGCAACCTCACGATTACATGTCCGGTAGCCTAACCACTAAGCCACTGACGTCACAGAATATGTGGGACTCTAGATGTACCCTATTTAATCATATATATTTGCTTCTAAGTAATTCTTCTTCTCTATCTCTCTCTCTTCTGTGTGTGGGTGTGTGTGTATCCTGTGCCACATACACGAACATCAAAGCTGAGTATAGATTTAGTACGAGTTTTAAAAGCACTTGCAACATAAATGGGTCAAATGAGAGCCAATGCCAACCAATAATGAGAGTGGTTACTAGAAAGTAACATGCAAAGAAATAAAAAGGAACAGAGAAAAGGATGACAGGTCTTTGATAGGAAAGAAAGAGCAAACCACACAAGAGTACCCACCACCCATAGCTGAGGATGAGAATGTGCTACACATATGTGGAGGTGTTTCCTCTCAGTGGTTTTCTTTCTCTCTTCTTCTAGACTTCAACCCCTCAACCAAATAATCAATTTATGTTTCATGACGTTAAACCTATCATTTGTACAGGTGATTGTCTTGGACGTGTAGCCATAAGCGCAGGTTCGCATGTATCTTGAGTTTCACCCTCAAGCTGACAAAAATAGGGAACTGAAGTTGTTACATTGGAATACACAGTGTAAAAAATCAAGGGGAAGACCACATGGAATCTGGAGAAGAGTCACAGAAATTGATGTACAGAAAAGCGGGAAGACATGGAATAACATCAAGAGGCTGGCCCATTATAGGGAAAGGTGGAAAGTGTTTGTTTGTGGTCTATACCCTGTGATCCAGGGTGAGAAAGGCAATGATGATGATGATGATGATGAAGTTGTTACCTGTGAGGTGTCCATGATTTCGTTCCACAGCTTGGCAAAGTATGGCAGATGGAGGGGTACTCCTTCATAGGCTACCATGGCATCTACAGGAAGAAAGCACATCAAGATACATCAAGGCTAGGAAATATCCAGGGGACATTTGGGCGGTGATATTTAATTATTTCACAATTAGAATTAAATACTAAATAATAAGGAATGACATTCAATTATTTCAAAATTAGAAATAGAGAGGGAGATTGCTGGGGAAAAAAGAAAGAGATGGAAAGAGAATAAGAGAGAGAAAGAGAATGAGAGAGAAAATGAGAGAAGAAAGAAAGATGAGAGAGAATGAGAGATAACACGAACACAAAAAACTCATGGATAGCTCGTACAATTTGCCATGGCCTGACCGATATTTAAAAAATATATTGTTATATTGGTTCAATCAACTTATGATGTGTCAAACACATTTGTCAATCCCTGATGTATTTTAGTTATCCGAGCCCAATTGTATGTATCAATAGAAAGAGAAATGAAGAGATGGCTTCTTCCACTGATAAGACCAGTGTTAAACAAGCCATGACGTGAACGAGTCAAAAGTACTCAGGCCAAACAAGCCTTCCGTTTAAACACATTGATTGTGACTGCCACACCTTATAAAGCCTGATTTCCTGTCAAATAGTCTATGTATAGATATGATCTCTTGGCAGACAATAGGCTTACAAAAGATGTCACGCCCTTTATGCAAAAGTAAGCAATAACTGAAATATCAATTTAATGAAACTCAGCTTTTCACCAACGCTAGCGATACATCCATAAAGCACTGGGTGGGAGATTATAGAGGCCTAGGAGCTTCATCTACATGGCAGTTGAGAAGTTAAAGTATGGACAAAGAGACAGTTCACATGAAGTTAAGTTTCTGGCAGGAGGGGAGAAAAACCTGTAAAGTTCGAAAAGAACTTTATCTCAAAGGCAGATTTTATTTTGCACATGGCCTTTGGTGTTAGCATGACTCACAGAGGTTGATGAGGTCGCTGTTGAGCATCTTAAGGTTGATGGCCATGCGGCTCATGCGGTCAATGAGGCGATGGTATGGCTCGTAGTAGTTGACCAAAGCCTTGTCATACTCCTCATCCGTGCCCTGGAACATGTTACAAGATAAGTTTATGCTTAATAAATATTTTATACAAGAATAAAGTTGAAAACATTGCACATTGTCAGTAACAATAACAGTCTGGAGGGAGGGAGGGAGGGAGGGAGGGAGAGAGAGAGAGAGAGAGAGAGAGAGAGAGAGAGAGAGAGAGAGAGAGAGAGAGAGAGAGAGAGAGAGAGAGAGAGAGAGGGGGGGAGGAGGGAGGGAGGGAGAAGGGGAGAGAGAAAGAGAGAGAGAGAGACACTTTGACACTTTGGAATACATGCCGAAGTTTGTCCTTGTAAAGAGAGCAAATATACGACAAATCACTCAAAAAAGGCAGCCCACAAATAAACGTCCTAGCCATACCTTGGTCACTTCCAGCTGACCTGCATGAAGATACATTTGGAACTGTGGCCGTGAAGGTCGCACGTTGGCTTTGATGGCAGAGCCCTGGTAGGAACGGGTCGGGTAGAAAGGACCCACACTCACTGAGGATATAGGAAGGAAAATGTTTCATGCCATCAATCTATAGAAAAAGCGACCTCAGATTTTTATAGTAACAAAACACAATTCGAGTATGAGTAAAGAGATGCATATCTACACAATAACGGTCATATAGTACAGGGAAAAAGCAAGACAGATAGACAGAGACAACAGAATGAAAAAAAAAACCAAGACCCAACAGTGGTGCCTTCCAACCACCTCTACATATTAAATCCCCCTTTCTTGTGTAATAAATTCATTTGAACTTCTCATAGTATCTATCATAATAGTAGGAAGAATTTACCACACATATAGGGCTTTGAATAAATGAAGTAAAAAAAATTCAAGGAGTGAACTGAGAAAACATAAAAAGCCAAGGATATGCCACAGACACCACAAAAGGTACCTCAATGGGATTAGTCAAAGTTCCAAAATGGGGTAAGTAAAAGTGAAATTCGTTTATCTATTTTTTTCTCAGACAGAACTGTGTACGAGAAAGGAGTCTCACTCGGAGGGTTGGAGTTCTGGAAGGCGGAGTGGGCGTGCAGCAAAGTGCTGGTCAGGAACTGGGTGATGTCTTTCTGGATCACCAGCACCATCTTGTGCAGGACATCTGAAAACAGAAAAATTAACATCTCCTGTAAATTTCTAATTTACATAGAGAGAGAGAGAAAGAGAGAGAGAGAGAGAGAGAGAGAGAGAGAGAGAGAGAGAGAGAGAGAGAGAGAGAGAGAGAGAGAGAGAGAGAGAGAGAGAGAGAGAGAGGGAGGGAGGGAGGGAGGGAGGGAGGGAGGGAGAGAAACAGACACAGAGAGAGAGACAGAGACAGAAACAGAGACAGAGAGAGATAAACAGAGAGAGACAGAGTGACAAAGAGAGAGAGAGGAGACAGAGAGAAAAGATCTGCACGTGATTTCATCTTTTGTAATAGGAAACAAGAAAAGCGGAATGCATCGAATCCATACTGGCTTCCTAGAAGGCTGTGGTCACCCAATGAGGACGGATATTTGGACATAATAAAGTGAAATGCACCCCTTGAGTAACAAAACCAGGTTAAAAAAGACCATGAACGATCGATCAATCGTAACCTCACAGCCCTTACATACCTAAAGCACTGGCTCTCAGGTTCACAGGCACAAAAGAGTTGAGCAAAGTCAGAAGTTTCTTCGCTAGTTCATTGCGCTCCTTCCACTGATTGATGACACTTCGCAGCTCTGCTGTGGACGGCAGGAAGAGAATAACAATTGCATATCTTTTAAAAAAATATCTAGCACTGTTCTCATTTTGGTGAACCCAGAGGATCATCTAGTTCAACTACAATTTAGGAAAAAGCCATGAAGGTAAAATTTAAAAAAAAAAGAAGAAAAAAGTAACATGATTTGTTCAAATAAATATGCCTCTTTTAACTCACTCAGCCTTGTTCCCGAAAAATCTCGGTTATACCAGCATGACTATCAAGGACATTATTTCATCTCTGTCCAGGAAAAATAAATTCATCAGAGAGACCAACAATATTGCCAAAATAACTAACATTTCTTCCAGTCTAAAAAGATTAGAAATAAAACAATAGGCATACTTGTACAAAAAAGTATTAAAATTAAAAATGCAAAATTCTAAGTCTCTATAAAACATTTTTTCATAAAGCATGTTTGAGCAATTTATTTATAATTGCATTTACCGACGGCTTGCTCCAAATGGTTCTCTACACCCTTAAAAACACTATTACTCACCTTTCCTCTCCGCGTGGTTTGCTGCCATGAGCAGCGCATGTATGAGTTGAAGCACATCGATGAGGTCTCCAGTCATGTGACACGCCGTCGCCTCATGGAACATGGTGTAGATGATGAAAAATGACTGCCACCAGGGGATGAGGGATATGAGGAGGAGAGACAAAATTCAAAATGTTATACCATTAACTTTCTTTGAGATTTGTGTAAAGAGACCATTACAACTGTTCCAAGCTGGGTAAAAGCAAGACAAAGGAACAACAGAGGGAAAGAAAAAGAGGTAAAACCTACAGGTGGTGACCTCTTTCCACCAGATACTACAACAACAACCAACAACAGGTTTGTTTGCGTAAATAGAAGCAAATCAACAGAACAGAAGTTATCATTATTGAGGGAAGAGTTTGTTTTAGTAGGGGTTTTACGGCGCTCGCAACTGCATAAGGTCATATGAGCGCCAGAAGATTAGAGGTGTTACAAGAGAGTAACAAACATAAAAAAGAAGGAGGGGAGATAAGGACGATAGATGTTTGATAGGAAAGAAGGAGCAAACCACACCAGAGCACCCGCCAACCACCCACAAACAATAGTTAATATCTAGTGAAGAGATAGAGTAAAGACAGACAAACAGATGGAAGCAACAATGGGAAAGAAAACAGGTATCCACAACAACAACAGCAACAAGAAAGGCAGTGGCTCTGGTGAAGAACATGCTCTTCAGGACTCCAAACAATGCGGAAGGATATGCTATCACACACACACAACAGCAACAGCAAGGACAAAACTAAAAACAACTGAGTCCGTTGAAGCAAAGACTCACCTGACTCAACACAGACAGTCCGTTTTGGTAGAGCAGACTCAGGTGATCCTCTGGAGTCTCCACCAGAACTTTGTAAATGCTGAAACAAAATACACAATATTGTAAATATTTGACATTGATACAGTTCTACACTCATTTAAACACAGGTTGATTATCTACTAAGGAAACACCTCACTTTAAGTACAACTTCCATTAGACTGAGCTGGTGTTAAAGAGCCTTAAAATCTGTCAGTAAAAAAAAAATCCTTTGGGAATCTCTTCAAGACTAATACAGGACACTTATCAGCAAATAATCCCCAACACTTTGTAGATGCCGAAAGAAAACACACAAAGGTGCAATATATGATTGGTCTTGATTATACAAAGAAGCATCTAAGTCATAGCATATGTCATCTGCCAAAGGCCAGAGAAAGTATCAAAGAACCTTGAAAACTCCCCAACCCGTCTCTGAAATATAATATTGAAGATCATTTGGTCGGTTTTAAGCACAAGGGGGCTATCCCGATAAATGCTGTTTTGAGAAATTCGAAGTTTAAGTTTTTGGATCCTTATTCAGTCTCTTTAAAAGACGAGGAGAGCTTTCTCTATAACCAAACAAATACATACCAATGAAACCAAACTTCTCCTATAGGTAGGGCAGTGCCCACTTTTGGTGTAGGTCAAGATTTCTGGAAACCCCCGAAATCTGGGTTAGCCCGCTTGTCCTTAAAAGCGATAATTTTCATAGCCCCTACTCCCATGTACACACAACTCTAGACGCTTTACATAAAACCAAGAGAAAAAAGCAATAGCTGTGAAGAAATAAAATATTTGTTTGTGTGAATGAAGAAATCACACACATACACACGCATACGACATAACTGACTACTCACGAGCACAGAGTCTGCCACATGACCCTTGGGTCTAGCCCCGTGGTGCACACCGTCAGAATTGTCTTGCGGAAGTTCTCAACTGCTGCGGCCTCCTCGGCACAGTGCTCTGGCTTGCGATCCGCCATCATCTTCATCATGCACATCAACTCCTCTGTCGCCTGGGGGAACAGAGGAAATATTATAAGTATTAGTCTTGTAATAATAAGAATAATGATTACAATACTTACATTTATATAGTGCATATTCCCCTGCTCAACAGCAAGCTCTATGTGCTTTACAACAATTATTACCCCCATCAGACCCTAGAACACTCGCAAACATTCTCCTCTTTTACAACTCCCTTGACATAATTAAAATCATTTACGAGGTGGACTGCTTTAAGCAGAAGGGCATGAGCTCAGCAACTACTGGAAAAATAACAACAGTAAAAAATATTTACAGACACCAGTCATTTTTTCTTCTTTGTAAAGAAAAGCACATGGACACAACAAAGGTCATTTGAGCTGGAAAAAAGCATGAAAGATGGACAGACACAACAAAAGGATAGTAAAATAGTAGGCACAACCAGCAGCACCCTCCAACAACCTGCAATGAAGCCTCAGTTTTGTCGTACACATGCCCAATCTAATATGACATTGAAAATCAAAACATAGCAAAAAACAACAACAAACAAACAAAATGAAATCAACAATAAAAACTTTTTGAAGACTGAATCTTTTTTTTTAACCAACAAATAGAGCAAGCATTTCATGGTAACAGACTAGAAAATTTATCACTCATTATGGTCGGCCAGAAAATTTAACATGCAGGGAAAAGAGTAAGAAAACTCCTTCGCAAGAGTCCTTACCTCCAAATACTGATGCGGGTACGGTAAGACGTTCTTGAAAGCCCATTGTAGGTTCTGGTGACCAGCCAGCTGGCGCATGAAGGCCGTGGAATATTCACAGGCCATCCGGAGCAGGCCGTAGTACGCGGGCAGGAGGCCCCGGTTGAAGTGGATATTTTGCTCATCCTCATGATCCGCTCTAAAGACACAGCAGATAAATCATCATTGTCAGCGAATAATATCGGTACTAGCAGCAAAAAATATCAATACAAGCAAATGAAGTCTATGATAGCATAAAAGGAATAAAGGTGAGATATCCTGTGGAGGGGACATAAGGCCTACCCAAGGAGTTGAATCCTACTGTTAAAAAGAATTATTTTTTTTCACTTTTCAAACACATTTACGTTAGCTAAGACTGCATTATACTAATTACATTTTTTCCTATTATATAGGGAACGGGCAGGGTGAGGGAGAGAATTACAACAAACAAACAAATTCACAAACTGCTTTTTTCAATTAGAGAGTCAAGAGAAAGGGGGAAAAATAAAGGAGCACAGAAGAGAACAGGATGTTTTTATTTTTTATTTAGTAGAGGGTTTTACGGAGCTCGCAACTGCATAAGGTCATATGAGCGCCAAGGGGTGGGTGTCAACAGAGAATCAGACTTAGACTACTCACCTCTCTAGCTTCAACAGCATAAGGTCTGCTTTGACTATCAAGGCACCCCAAAATAGCAGGTCACAAGGGAGTGACAAACATACAAAAGAAGTAGAGGAAAATGACAATAGTAAGGATCAGGAAAGAAAAAGCAGCAGTTCTCTGTTGTAGATCAGGCACAGTTATGAGCGTGACATGAGTCAGCCCATTTACAATTCTACTATGCTTGAACGAGATATGTCCCCCCTCTGGGAATGGCCTAAAGACACTTCAGTCAGTAGCACTGACCCGGTACTAGCAGCAAAAAATATCAATACAAGCAAATAAAGTCTATGATAGCATAAAAGGAATAAAGGTGAGATATCCTGTGGAGGGGACATAAGGTCTACCCAAGGAGTTGAATCCTACTGTTAAAAAGAAATTTTTTTTTTCATTTTTCAAACACATTTACTTTAGCTAAGACTACATTATACTAATTACATTTTTTCCTATTATACAGGGAACGGGCAGGGTGAGGGAGAGAATTACAACAACAAAAAATTCACAAACTGCTTTTTTCAACCAGCAAGAGTCAAAAGACTCCGTAAAGGAGCACAGAAGAGAACAGGATAGTAGACCTGAAACATAATTTATTTTAGCTACTAATGCATTCAATTTTTTCCTTCCAGTTAATTAGGGAAGTGGGCAGGATGGAGGAGAGACTTACAAGAAACAAATTCACAAACTGCTTTTTCTAACTAAAAGAGCCAAAAGAGGGGAGGGGGGAGAAAGGAGAGATAAAGGAGCATGGAAGAGAACATGATGGCGAACCTTAAACATAAAAAGAGGGGAACGAAATAGTGGGACAGAGAGATTCTTAAAAATGAAAAAGTTGAAAAGAAGAGAAACAGGTTGAAGAAAACGAAAGTTACAATGACAGAACCACTTTACACAATGACTCAGATCACTCACAAGATGTAATTGAAGGCGATGTTCTTGCAGACATGCTGGTTGGACACCATTTGCTGGAGGTTCTCCGGGCAGTCTTGGCACACGTTGAACCAGAACAGAAGCAGAGCCTGGAACATCACATATTAAATAAGACACGAAATAAGACACGAAATAGACGAGAAGAAGTCATAAAAATAAGACACCAAATCAATGTGAAATAGACATGAAATTAACTGGAAATTGATGTTAAATAGACACATGATACACGTGAAACAGCCATGATAAAGAGAACACCACAGTTAAACTCAACTTCCGAGTCTTCTAAGCTCTTATTACAGAAAGAGGAAAGTCCATTGTTTTCTTACAGAAAGTTGTTCTTGCAATACATTGTACAAACAATTATATTCTTAACTGAGAGTCGGACTGATAATTATTTACTGTAAAGCATCTACAAAACTCCCTTCCCACCTTTCCAGAGTGCGTAGTAATTATACTTTGGCATACAGCAAGCAGCCAGCGTAAACAGTTCAGGACTCACCTGCTTGTTATGGTTGAGTGGAATCTGTGGCTCCAACATGAAGGGGTGAAACAGCTGCCATAGGTCCAGGAAGAAAGGTGTGAACTGCAAACACATTACACAAAACACTCAGAAATAATAAAGATAATTATAACAGATAGCATTTGCAAGGTGCATATTCCCCCCTCTACAGCAAGCTCCATGTGCTTTACAATTGAATTATGATAAAGATATATATATATTCTAAATACATGTATGTATCACACATTCAAATTTGTTTATTAGAGCAAAAAGACACAAATCAATCTGATTGCAGTCATTTAGTGTTGGAGGAAACAGACAGACAGACAGACAGACAGACAGACAGACAGACAGACAGACAGACAGACAGACAGACAAATGATGGCGAGAAAAAAAAAAGGATTTACCAGTGGCATTCTCCAATCACCTGCTATCAACAGAGTTCAATTTAAGAAGCTATGAACAAACAACTGAAGATTGCAGCCAAGAAAAAGGGGAAGTAAAGATCAGTTTCAAGGTGAAAGACGAAAGACAAATGGCAATGGCTGAGGCGATAAAAGATGTGGCAATCGAGAGCACAATCATTTCCTTGTTTTCTCCGAAATTCACATCACAAGTTCTGCATTAGGCATTTCCTTGGACACATTTACCTTATGCATCACATCGCTTCATTACAGGACATTAAATGTTGGACCAGTACAGCAAAAGTCAAATTTTCCCCTGTTTCGGAGCAGCATCTACTACTTCAACTATTCACTTCTGAGACATAAGTATCATCAAGAACACCAAGGTGGAAACAGTTACACCAAGATAGTATTGACCCAAGGAAGTGGCCATCTTCTAAACAAAGAGGAGGAGCAAAGGTTGTCGAAAAACATACCATGTAAGGTAAAAGAAACAGAATGTCCATATCATCTTCCCTGGCAATATACATACTATTGCTCAAAAATATCGTAGGATAAATTTTATAAAAAGGGACGACGTATCTTGCGTACAATCTGTGCTAGAACTTACCATGAGCTTCTCTCTGCGCGAGTACAGGCAGTAGGTGAGTACAGAGAACAAAGACATGAGCTTGGCGTGGGATGGACCCACCATGTTTGACTGATTGCCATCATATGGTGCTGAGGAAACAACGAAAAAGAGTGAGACGACGCAAAGTCATTTCTATTACCTTAAACAAAAAACACTTATGAGAAAGTTGCTAAAAAGAATATTTGGAAGGTGCCCCAAGTAGGTCCTACTTCTTTTCTTTCCCCCTGTTATTTCTGTTTGATTGTCTTACTTTTTCCCTGCACAAATTATGTTGTTTAGTTGATGTGCTTCTCTTTACTGAAACTCAAAAAAGGTTGCCAAAGGCAGATCGTTATGCAAGCAGAAAAGGTCATCTCAATCTGTCAGTGTAAGACTATTACATTACACTCTGGAGAGCATCTAAGGAAATTTGAAACTTAAAACAGTCATTAACAAAAACATTGTGATTACAACTGAACTTTGCAGTCAATAAAAATCATGAAAGTTAGTGCAAGAACAGTAAACACCTTGTGACGTTCTATGACAAAAACAATATAAAGCCAACGTACTCACACACTATAATAATAATAACAACCAAAAAAAAGCATTTGAATAGCGCAAATTCCTATTCAACATCAAGCTCTATGAACTTAGCAATTCATGTTATTACCCTAGCAGCCCTGATAGCATTCTGAAACAATCTCAACTTCCTGAAAAGTGTACAGTGCCAGCTGCTATTTTACAGGAGCTGAAATATTAACATACTGACAAGATTTTTCCCTGGGTACCCATTCACATCTGGGTGAAGTGAAGAAAATCTACCTCAAGTGCCTTTCACAAAGACACAACATTGGGCCAAGCTGAGCCTCCAAGCCCCGAATCCACAAACTCACAATTACTAGTCTGGTAGCCCAACCGCCACACTACTAGCCCAACCACCACATTTAATTGAGAAATATTTCCCTATTCCTTCTGGCTTTGCCTTTGAAGTGATGTTTAATGGAAAAAAAACCCACTAAACGAGTTGAACATAAACCTATTTTTTTACCCCCTACATCAGGCTGAGAAGCTTGGAACATTTAGACTGGACTAGAATTCCACACGACTCACCTATGTACACATGTGCCCTCTTCAGCAGCAGTAGCAGGTGCTGATAAATCTGTGAAAGTCAAACAAACAGAAGCTATGAATCCCTGTGTGATTATTTACTACAGACTTGTGTCTGCAACTGATAAACACATACATTTCCAACAATCTGGGGAACAATCCCCAGCAACTGCATCCGTTGACCAGTGGTAGACTGACACAATAAAAAGAATTCAGTGAAGAAAACAAGAAGTTAAAAAAAAAAAGAAAGTGCAAAAATAACGACTCCTTTACACTAAAACAACCAGTAACCATCCACTGACAAAACACCACATTTTTCTCAGACAGCTTCCAAACTCCCAGCCTTGACAAGAAAACTATATTTATGCAAGATAATGAGGAGACAGTTTCAGAGAGAGTCTGAGAGACCCTACGGTTACCATTCCAAAGCATGAAGTTTTCTGTCCTCATCATTCCACAAACACGCTAGTAATTCTTTTTATGCTTCGATAAAAATAAATGAAAAAGAACTAAAACCATGACTTGAGCACTTGCTATTTTTAAATGAAAGACTAGGAGGGAAATACCGAAACAGAACGAAACTAAAATGTGAGGTGCCCATGGACATCTTTATTTGAATAACGGCTGTCTGGAAACCTCTAGAAATTGCTTTACGCTATTATGGAATGATGTAAACATGTTGCTAAACAGAAGCACTTCATATCTGAACATATAAGGACGATAGATGTTTGATAGGAAAAAAGGATCATCAACATCTATCCTATGAAGTTTGTCTCTATTTCAATTGATGCGGGGGCCTTCGAAAGGTTTTGCAAGTCAATAAGGACAGAGTGTTGAGGCTAGAGCTATGTAAAATGGTGACAAGAGGAATACATTTTTCTACTCACCCTATGCATGACAGCCAGATCCTCTTTGCTCCACTGCAGGGACAAAAGAAACAAATAATTACACAAGATAAGAGGCAGCTGGTCAATAAAATAGAAAAGAATTCCACTTCTATTGATCAACATGGGGAAAGTTGATTTATAGTGGCAAATATAACTACAGGTGTGCACAAACACAGTAACTAATCAATGTAACATAATTAAGGCCACAGTCATCTCATAAACAGTGCAACAGCACAATATTAGTTTTTGAAAGCATCTGCGCTTGTGCATGTGTGCATGTGGTGGGTTGGGGTGTGAACGTGAGTACTTGTATGTTCATGGTTTTTTGGTATCAATTTACACACTATGACGAAGTCCAAATTGCTTAGAGATGCAAGAGAACTAGAACATATTTTGCCAATGATGACACCGGTCTTACAAACGACGTGGTATAACTGACTCCAACAAAGTCCAGCGCGGAAGCAAATATAGAATCAATTTCTACAGTGTAACTGTCTGGTGCTTGGCTTTGCAAACAAAAAGATAGCTTCAATGCACATGATTTGAAGACATTATTTCATTAACCCTAGAAGCGCTCAGCATTTCACCGGAAGCAACCCGCCAAAAATGCCCCGCCGCCACCTCCGACCAGTGGTAAACATGGGGGTTTGGCGGGGGAATATCAGCTGAGATATCAGAGATGTGTACTTGCTACTGAAAAATGACTATTTACGGCTCAACAGATGAAAAAAGGCATATAAAACCATATATTTTCTTGAAGCTGATAGAATGAGCCATTCAGAAATGATGAGCCATCAAATAAATACAAACAAAGTACAAAACACGATAAACTCAACAATTAGTATATTAGCATGGCGGAACAAGTGATAACACATAGCATGCAGTCACTCAGCAGGACCAAGTCACTTTATCGATCGATATCTTGGCCAAGAGACGCTCTAGGAGGTCAAGATAACTTGCTAAGTCATTGGTCACTATTTATAACTTTGACCTGTAATTTATTACGTTATTTTTCATATAAGGCATACTAAAATTTTCCATTGAAAAAGGTCAACGTCTATGCCCTTATACAGGGCCTGCGCGCTTCCCGGTCAAAGTAGGTCGGCCCTATATATAGGGCCTGCGCGCTTCTCGGGTAGCTCGGCTCACGCCCTTTATATGGGGCCTGCGCGCTTCCAGGGTTAATATCAGTCTTCCTGCTGGGGTGCATCCCACACAGACAGGCATGTCAAAGTTGCCTACCTCCTAACAGACTCAAATTGTGTTGACCAAGGAGTGAAATGTTAACATCATCTACAATATGTGACCATAGACAATAGAGACAGCTATGACACAGATTTAGAAAAAGCAAATGAAACAAAAACACCAGACAAAAAAAATTTGGGTATGCATTTATTGTATGTACGTGTGTAAATACAAGTACACATATGCTTGAATCAGCAGAAAGACAGACAGATACAGGAATAATTGACAGTGTCTTTGCAATAACTTACCACAATAGAGCTGGGGCAGGGAGCGAAGAGACGAGGGCGATAGTTGGAGCGGAACATTTCGTTTGGCACAAGAGAAACCAACAGCTGGGCACTTGCTGAGGACATAACAAAGTAAGGGAGGAGTAAGATTTATTAATCTATAAAAGAAAAAAGGCAAAGATTTAAAAAAACTTAAATTCTATTTGTAAAGATTAAATTTTTCTTAAAAGTACCCCCTTCACCATCCTAAAATAACAGGCTGAAGTTAACTCTTATTATGCTCTTACTAATTTTCCCTGACAATCTCCCCCTTCTGAATTCAAAATCTGTATGTACAAATACATACATAAACACAACAAAATGTATACATAAACACATAAAAACCACAAACATAAAATAAAACCCACATATTTACAACAAACATATGTAAATACACAAAAATACGGAAAAAAAAAAAAAAGTTACAGGAACATGAACATCTCTCTCTCTCTCTCTCACACACACACACACCAACGCACACATGCAAACACACGTGCACACACGGAAGCACATGCACACAAAGAGGAAAAAAAGAACCACACCCACCCATGCGGACCAAATTGCTGTTATAGGCCACCATGTAGAGCTCCAGCCATCCTTCCATACAGTCCAGGGTCCACAGACGGGCCAGGCGGTTATGAGAGACCTTGTTGGTCAGCCATTCCAAGCACTGACGCGGGGACACTTTTGTCAGCTGCAACAGACACAGGTAAGTACTGAGTTAAAGTTTGACTGGAGAATTTCACAGTGAGAGGTACAACCCTAAAGATTTTTATAGAAAATTACATAAAGTATATGAGAGGGTAGCTATACAGTTTGGACACACAGGAAATGTCATTAACTTCCAACAAACAGACAGATGTACAGAGTCATTGTATTGATTTCACATCAATCATGCAAAGTGCATTGACTTTTGAATGTGGGTGGTTGGCGGGTGCTCTAGTGTGGTTTGCTTCTTTTTTCCTATCAAAGATCTATCGTCCTTATCTCCCCTTCTTCTTTTTTATGTTTGTTACTCTCTTGTAACACCTCTAATCTTCTGGCGCTCATATGACCTTATGCAGTTGCGAGTGCCGTAAAACCTCTACTAAAAAAACTGACTTTTGAATAATAAAAGATGGAAATCTTATTGAAGATGCTATTTGTTAATATTCCAACTGTTGTTGAAAATTTAAAGTCTGATTCTTTAAAAATGCATTTTGCCAGTGTCTCCAGACTGGAAGGACACTAGTTAGGTGAATTACATTAATGATTCTCAAGAATTTAAAAGAACTGGTTGTACACATACAAGACATTTTACAATGAAGAAGATGAACAATACAAGAGAATTAAGTAAGTGGATCGGTAGGACAAAATCAAAAGTGAATTAGATGAATGATGATTGAGATGATTTGAACAAGCTATCGTGTGTGAAAGAATATGAGGTGAATTTGTTATATTGTCGCTGTCGAAAACAATCCACTTGAGTCCAAATTTTGAGATTTTTAGAATTTTACACCCTCCAAGAGCTCTATCGAAGATCAAACTTTCAATATCAACAAAATGCAGTTAACTGCTATGGTCAAGGCTTACAATTTTTTTTGCTTTTCATGATTCCTG